CAGCTGGCCTTGATCTCACAGAGATCTGCCTGCCTCTGTCTCTGTCTGAGATTAAAGGTGTGAGCCACCATGTGCATGTATGTGAGTGTCCACGTGTATGTACAGGTGCACAGTGTGTGTATGTATGTCAGAGGACTAACTCAAGTGTCATCCTCAGGAATTCTGTCTACCTCCTTTGAAACAGGGTCTTTCATTGGCTGGAGCTCACAAATTAGGCTAAACTGGCTAGCCTAGCAAGCCCCAGAATCTTCCTGTCTCTGCCTCCCCAGGGCTAGAATTATAAGCACATGCTACCATGCCAGGAATTTTGACATAGGTTCTGGGGGTCAAACCCAGGTCCCATGTTTTCCAGATAAACACTGTATTGACTGATTTAACTTCCCAGCCCTAACTTTAAAAAAATTATTTATTTTTATTTTATGTGTATGGGTGTATTGTCTGTGTGTATGTAAGTGCACCTGTGTCGTGCAGTGCCCACAAAGGCCCAGAGAGAGAGCTGGATTCCCTGGAACTGGAGTTACAGATAGTTGTTAGCTGTATAGGGGTGCTGGGAACTGAACTGGGTCCTCTGTAAGAGCAGCCACTGCTCTTAACTGCCGAGCCACCTCTCCAGTCCCCCCCCCGCCACCCCCCTGACTGTTTCTCACTTATTGGTAGAGGGGTTTTTTATTATTTTTTTTTATTTTATTTTATGTGTATGTGTGTATTGCCTTCATGTAGGTAAGTGCACCCATGTCGTGCAATGCCCACAGAGGTCAGAAGAGGCTATCAGATCCCCTGGGACTGGAGTTATGGACAGTTGTTAGCTGCCATGTGGGTGCTGGGATTCGAACCTGGGTCTTCTACAAGAATAACCAGTGTTCAGCCATCTCTCCAGCCCAGGTAGAGTGTTTTTTATATGTATTCTAAGGGGAAAGGCATTAACCAGTGTGTGTGTGTGTGTGTGTGTGTGTATAAAAGGTCAGTCCGCCAAAAAAAAAACCAACCAAAAAACAACAACAAAAAAACCAAAGCTGGGCATGGTGGTGGCACACGCCTGTAGTCCCAGCACTTGGGAGGCAGAGGTAGGTGGATCTCTGTGAGTTCAAGTCCAGCCTGATCTACATAGTGAGTTCCAGGACAGCTGGGGCTTACAGGGAAACCCTACTTCAAAAAGCACCCCCCCTAAAAAAAAAAGAAAGATAAGCCTGAGGGCTGGAGAGATGGTTCAGTGGTTAAGAGCACTGGTTCCTCTTGCAGAAGACCCAGGTTCGGTCTCCAGCACTCATACGGCAGCTAACGACCATCAGGAACTCCACTTCCAGGGGATCTGATGCCCTCTTCTGACCTCCACAAGCATTGCATGCATGTGGTATACTTACATATATGCTGAGAAAACACTCACACACATAAAATAAAAATAAAATACTTTAAAAAGGGGGGGGGCAGCCTGCTCTACCTCACAAACCCACAGCACCACAGTGGCTGGACCACAGTCACATGTGGGTGGTGACAGGATTTCCAACCAAAGACATAACACGTCACATCAGATTTTTCTGATGTGAATGGATTTTGGTTTTTGGTTGAGCAATCTGTCTCAGTTTTACAGTGGTATGAGAGCTAAAAGGAGTTAACGCCTCTTTTTTATGCTTGTACGTATTTAAGCAATACATAATAAAAGGCCCTGAAGGAAGCTCTCTGTACCCACAAGGGGATTTTCAAAGGGCAGTCAGTCTGCTAACTCTCAGGCCTGGTCTGGACAGAGCCGGAAGCTGCTGTCTCTCTGGCCCTGGGCTGTCTGTCTGTCTCTGTCTCTTTCTCTTTCTCTTCTAACACACACACACACCTGGTCCCCTCTGTACATGGCTCAGCTGTTACTGTCCCCCGAGGATACCCCCTTTTCCTTAGAGTAGACAGATCCATCAGTCACTGGGCAGGGAAGCCCCCAACTCTGGCCTGTTCTGCCAAGCGCCGTTGCTTTCTTTGTACAATCTCCGTTGCATTTTAAAACCTATGACTGGGAGGTCTTCCCTCCCAGAATGCAAATTCTATGAAGGAAAGAACGGCTCTTCTTTTCCCTAACATCTCCTGTGTGCAGCTGCTCATGTGGTTTCTAGAGCGTGTGCCATGAATGTTTGTTGAATGACTTGCTGACTTCAGCTTATGTAGCTTCCTCACTGTATTGGTGCTGAAAGGCAGAGGGAGGCTAGAGTGGGGCTGGACCCCACTTTTTTTGAGAGGAGAGGATTAGCTTTTTGAGACAGGGTCTTACTATGCAGCCTTGGTTGGCCTGGAACTGGCGACATACACCAGGCTGGCCTTGAATTCACAGAGATCCACCTGCCTCTGCCTCCTGAGGGCTGGGACTAAAGGAGCGCGCCACCACACCGACTCCAGGGTTCTTTCTTATTGATTGATTGATTTTTATTTTATTTATTTATTTTATGTAGGAGTGTATTGCCTGCATATATGTAAGAGCATTCGTGTCATGCAATGCTTTGGAGGCCAGAAGAGGGCGTCAGATCCTCTGGAACTGGAGTTAAGGATGGTTGTTAGCCATCATGGGCACTGGGAACTGAATCTGGGTCCTAGGCAAGTGCAGCCCCCCCACTCCAGGATGTTTGAGTGCAGGACCACAGGTAACAGAAGTGGATATGCTGAATGGCCACAGGGTGTCATTGTCACTGGTCAGGAAGATGCCTCACAGAATCCAGCCTAATTCTTTGTGCTTCTAACAAGGAACTCAAGAACCATGAGGGGACACGGACTGTCCAGAGCTACTTTAGGCAGAAAGTTCCCTTCCACCCAGCTTGTCTGGACTGAGGGGACCCGTGGCGGGGGGGCGGGGGGGGCTAGCCCCAGTCAGAAGAGGAACGACAAAGGTCTTTGCTGTTCCCTCCTCCAGAGCCTTTTCTAGTGCGTCCCTGGGGTGGTAATGTGGGCAGGTGGGAGAGGGTAGTTACAGTGAGACAAAGACTAGGGCTTTCAGAGTGACGCTGAGCTGGCGTGTGTGGGGACAAGCTGACACAGAGACCTCCTTCTGGGTGTTGGATCCTCTGGAACTGAAGTTACGGATGGTTGTTACCTACCATGTGGGTGCTGGGAATCAAACCCAGGTCCTCAGCTAGTGCTCTTAACAGCTGAGCCATCTCTCCAGCCCTTTACTGACAATTTTATTCAGACCAGTGTAGACGTGTGTGCGTTTTATAGAGATAACTCAGCGGTTAGGAGCACTGACTGCTCTTGCAGAGGACCCGGGTTCGATTCCCGGCACCCACATGGCGGCTACAAACCGTCCTTAACTCCAGTTCCAGGGGAATCCGAAGCCCTCTTCTGACCTCCGCGGCATTGCACGACATGGGTGCACTCACATACATGCAGGCAATACACTCATGCACGTAAAATAAAAATAATAAACATATTTTTTAAGCCGGGCATGGTGGTATCGCACCCCTTTAATCCCAGCACTCAGGAGGCGGAGGCAGGTGGATCTCTGTGAGTTCAAGGCCAGCCTGGTCTACATAGTGAGTTCCAGGACAGCTGGGGCTACAGGGAGACCCTGTCTTAAAAAGAAAAAAAAATTTTTTTTTTAAAAAAAGGATAGAGAGCTGGGGAGAAGGTACTGACTGCTGTTGCAGAGGACTTGGATTTGGTTCTCAGCACCCGTATCGTGTGGCTAATAACCATCTGTAACTCCAGTTCCAGGGACTCTGACGCCCTCTTCTGGCCTTTTCGAGCATTCCATGCCAGGAGTGCCCTTACAGACCTGCAGGCAAAACACATAATATAAATAAATATGCGGAGCATGGTGGCGTTCGCCTTTAATCCCAGCACTCAGGAGGCAGAGGCAGGCAGATCTCTGTGAGTTCAAGGCCAGCCTGGTCTACATAGTGAGTTCCAGTACAGCTGGGGCTACAGGGAGACCCTGTCTCAAAAAGACCAAAAAAAAAAAAAATCTATATAAATAAATAAGCAAATAAAAGTTAAAGAAAGGGGGACGGAGTTGGGAGAGGGGTCTAAATTTGATTAGGACATGTTATATGAAATGCATAAAAACAATAAAAATATTAAAACTGAAGAAAAAAATCTTAAAGAAACTTGGGGTTGGGGGACAGTGGCACATACCTGTCATCCCAGCATTTTGGGTAAAGGTAGGAGGATAAGAAGTTCAAGGTCACCCCTGGCTACATAGTGAGTTTTAACAAAACATTTATTGGGGCTGGAGAGATGGCTCAGTGGTTAAGAGCACTGACTGCCCTTACAGAGGACCTGGGTTCAATTCCCAGAACCCACACGGTGGCTAACAATCATCTGTAACTCTAGCTCCAGGGGATCCAATGCCCTCTTCTGATTTCCTGGGGCACTGCATGACACGGGTGCATTTACACACATGTAGGCAAGTACACTCATACACATAAAATAAAAATAAAAAGTAATTGGAGTTAGGATGGTTGTTATCCACCACGTGGATGCCGGGAATTGAGCCTGGGTCCTCTGAGAATGACCTGGGTCCTCTGTAAGAACGACCAGTGCTCTTCAGCCTCCTTATTTATTTATTTTTTATATGTATGAGTGTTTTGCCTGTATGCATGTATGTAAGTTCACACGTGTGCAATGCCCAAATATGTTAGAAAAGGGTGTTGGACCTCCTGGAACTGGAGTTAAGAATGGTTGTGAGCAGCCATGTGGGTGCTGGGAACTGAACTTGGGTCCTCTGTGAGAGCAGTCAGGGTTCTTAATCACTGAGTCATCTCTTTAGCTCCTACATAGTGAATTTGATGACAGCCTGGACTTTTAAAACAAAAACAAAAAATTAGCAACACTCGGAGACTCAGAATGGAGACCAGGGTGTGGGTAGACAGCCCACTGACTGGCTGAGGGTGGACAACAGCTCACTGACCTGTTTCAGTCCCATTCACTTGTAACTGGACTTATGACATAATTCTGATCAATTTTTAAGAATTAATTTATTACATTTATGGGTGGGGCATGAGCCACAGCATGTGTTTGGAGGTCAGAGGACAAGTTGGTGAGATTTGTTCTCTTACAACCATCATATTCTAGGGGTCAAACTCAGGTGGTCAAGCTTGGCAGCAAGCACCTTTACCTGCTGTGCCATCTCACTGGCCCCAGTTCTGCAAAATCTTCATCCCAGTCAAGATCCAGAATGTTTCCATCACCTTATAAAGGGACTCCCCCTCCCTTTATAAACACAACACTCCCTCATGGCATATCCCAACAACCCCATCAGGCTGGTGACTCCATTTCTAAGATTCTGCTGCACCCCTGGTAGGGGTCTGACTGTTCCCTCAGATGCTCTGCTTTTCCAGCCTGTGCTGATCAGTCTGATTTGGTGTGTGTGTGTGGGGACCCCAGAGGGTGGCCTCTGTCCTTCCACTCAGTGGGGCTTGTCTCGGGGTATGGTCTCTTCCACCCATCTATCCTCTCCATCTCCAGGGAAGCAGAGAGGATAGTAGGCAGCTGCCCGGAGCCCTGCATGGTCAGTGCAACTTGGGGTGGCTTCTGTGGGAGCCTGGGGTCGCCCTGGGTGAGTGGGGGAGGCTCACACTCCACATCCATGAAGATGCGAAGAGGCGACGTGTGAGGAGCAGTCAGCAAAGTGCCAGGCAAAGAGCGGCCCCAGCTCAAGCGCCCGCGGCTCCATTTGGCGATGAATTATGTATGGCCGGCTGGCAGAGCGGGCTGGCGGCTCGACTCCCCAGCAGGGGCGCGGCTCCTGAGGCTGGGCCTCTTTGTCTCTCCTGCAGGGACCAAGTCAAGCTTCCCTGGTGGTGTCCAGGCCCCAGGATGCCCATTTCCCAGGATGGACAACCAAGGTTGTGGTCCTCACGGGCCTGCGCCTCTTCCAGCTTTTGCTGTGTGCCATATGGTTGCCAAAGAATGGTGAACTCAACCCAAATTGTGTGCCCTGGGTGTATGGGCATAAATAGCATCTTGCCCTGGAGGTGCTAGGATGGCATGGGGGGAGGGTGAGTGATGGGTTAAACAGTCCTTAGATGGGAGGGGCTGTAAAGGCGTGGGATCATCGTGGACTGGAGTGTGACCAACAAACCTGGTGGGGACTGGGCCTTGGGTCTCTGAGCACTGGATGCAAGTGCAAAGGGCCTGGGGCAAACTTTGCCTGTGTCAAACTGCACATGGTGGCCAATGTGGTGGGAGGGCTGCCTCCCTCCCTCCCTCTCTTCCTTTTTTGAGCCTACCTGTATCAGCCATGGGCACTCAAGTACTGGGCCTGGGCTGGATCTGGCTGAAGCCTGAAGGGTTCAGTGACTCAATGATGGCACCCTCCATCCACTCCCAGCTGGGGTACAGGGCTGGAGGCTGCCTGTGGCCAGGGATCAGACCTAAGAATCAGAGATCTGTGCAGGGATTGGAAGTTAGAGGGGAAGAAAAATCACAGCCTCCTCTGGACCTTCTCCTGGCCTCCCCCAGCCTCCCCCACTTGACTCCTGCCTGTCCCTCTGATCTGCAGTTTCCTCTGAGCCTTTGCACCCCAAAGAATGGCCCCAACATCAAGGCCAGGGCTGCCCTGTCTCCACAACCCACAGACCCCTCCAGTCCTGGAAGTCAGCACAGCTGTGTTCCATGACACTTGCCGCCTTGGGTTCAGTCCCAGCTCTGCCTGCTCAGCTTGGGGGAGGGGGCAGCTGCAGACCTGGGGTCCTCGGCAGAGAGAGCATCTCTGCCTCAGCTTCGTCAGCCTAACTTCCTCACTCCCTAGAACCCCAGGTGGATCCCGCCCCCTTCCAGGGAAACCTTGGGTCCTGGGCTCCCAGATGCTTGACCCTCACACTCAGAATGCTCCCTCCAGCCTGGAGCTGGCCCACTTGGTGTCTCCTCCAGACCATGGTCTGGAGAGGATGGAGCCCCACACTGATCTTCTCAGGGTGGCTGGACATCCTGCAGACAGCTGGAGGGGAGAGGGGAAAAATGGCATTCTGTAACAAGCCAGACACACACACACACACACACACACACACACACACACACACATTCAGGCATACACATATAAATACACACACACATTCACATACACACATATACATACACACAAACACACATATACACACACACAAACACATATACATTCACACATACACACAATACACAAACACACATATGGACACATATACATACATATGCACCGATACATACATGTGTACATATACATACACACATACATATCACACATATGCACATGCATGCACACACATAAACACATATATGCACATACACACAAACACATCCCAGCTTGGGAGACCAATTTTACTACATGTTTCTAGTAAGTTCTGTCTCACCCCGAAGAGCTGACTGTTGTTAGTGCGTGGACGGGTATGATACGGGAGCTCTCCACGATCCTGGTATGCTCTGCTCGCTTCAAGTGTTGCCCTCAGCTGCAGGCCAGGACATTCTTTTCATCATGGGTCAATATTATGTTCAGTTTTTATTTTTATGTATTTATTTGTATATGCATGTGGGCATGTTGTTTCGGAGCAGGGTCTCATTCTAGCCCAGGCTGACCTAGATCATGCTTTGTTTGTTGTTTTTTGTTGTTGTCTTGAGACAGCATCTCACTGTCTAGTCTTGGCTGGCCTGGAACTTGCTATATATAGTAGGCTGACCTTGAAATCATAGAGATCCACCTGCCTCTGCCTTTCCAGTGCTAGGATCAAAGATGTGAGTCACCCAGCCTGGACTCAGACTCATGGAGTTCTGCTAACCTCAGCTCCCAAGTTTTGGGATTACAGGCTTGAACCACCAGGCCTAGCTTGATTTGTAGTTATGATTGCTATCTACAGTGCTGAGAGGACGTAGGACCTTCTACACAAATATTACTCCATGAGCTAAACCTCTAGCCCTTGTTTCTCCAAAACACTGTCTCATTATGTGACCCAGGCTGGCTTTGAACTGGAAACTCTTGCCTACATGTCCTGAGTGTTGGGGTTGCAAGCCTGTGCCATCACAGCCAGTTTCTGAGTCATTCCTGGGGCTCTGGGCCAGCATCTGGGTCTTCAGATCCAGGTTACTCCACTTCCCAGCAGTACAACCTTGAGCAAACGCCTCTCTGCCCTGTTTCCCCACCTAAACAGTACTCACCAGTCAGGGGATGGGGAGGTGGCTCAACTGTGCCTGCTGCAAAACATGGAGCACTGAGTTTGTTTCCAATACCCACTTAAAAGCCAGGCACAGGGGCTGGAGAGATGGCTCTGTGGTTAAGAGCACTGGCAGCTCTCACAGAGGACCCAGGTTCCAGTCATAGTACCCACATTGCGGCTAACAATCATCCATAACTCCAGTTCCAGGGGATCTGACACCCTCTTCTGGCATCCACAGGTATTGCATGAATGTGGTGCACTTACATACATGCAGGCAAAACACATGCACACACAAGCCAAGCACAGTGGCATACATCTATAACCCCAGCAATGGGGAGGCAGAGACCAGATAGGTCCCTCCAGCTTGCTGGCTACCCTAGATAAATTGGTGAGCTCCAGGTTCAATGAGAGACCCCGTCTCAAAAAACAATGTGGAGAGGAATGGAGGAAGACACCAGACATTAACCACATGTACATGTGCACCCACATGCATATGTGCAAACACTCACATGACCATGTACATATGTCACACCCACTTACATACAAATTTTAAAGTGAAAAAAATAAAAGGCACCAATCAGGGGCTCCTGTCCCCCAGGATCCCCTCCTAGGGAGTGTTAAGCACATTAGGATGTGAACTGAGTCTGCACAGAGCTCAGAGCAGGGCAGAGTTGAGCAGACCCTGGTTGTTATTGTTACTGTCTGCGGCTCCTCCTGTCTGACATCTTCGGGGAGACTCGGCCTCTGGGGAATTTTCCAGAGCTGCAAGGCTGAGCTGGCCACAAATAGATCTTAGAACTCATGACGTCCACTTCCTGCTCCCTCCCCTTCCTCCAGCTCTTGAAAACACCTATTCCTGTCTGTCTGCTGCAGTCTCCGGAAATCCAAAGTCTTTTCTGTGCTGATTCCTCTGGGTGCCTGTTGGGCTTAGGTTGGGAAGGTAATGGAAAGAGCTAGATCATTTCAAAATTGAGCCTAGAGCTTCCAAGTTCTGCCCAGAACCCAGCCAGGGGGGCGCTGCCCTGGCTCCAGGGTGCCGTCCAAGCGTGAAACCAGAGGCTTCGGTACCCACTGCCCAGACTGAGCTTCAGGTCACAAAATAAGGCCGACTGGAGGGTGGACGAAGAGAGACGTAGTCCTGGAGGTTGAACCGGGAGGCAGGCAGACTAGAGGACCCTGGCAGCCACAGAGGGACTGGGGTGTGGGAACCTTCGGAGGGCGCTGGGCTGGGGCCTCTGGCCAGGCCTGGGAGCCTCAGGGAGGCTGGCAGGCGCAGGGAAGGAGGCCTCCTACCAGACACTGTCTAGACGCAGCAATTATTGTCAGCTCAGAACACTCAGGCTCTGCCGCAGCTGAAAAGGAGTTTAACAAAGAGCGAGGGAGGAAGAAAGCAGAGAGCAAGGCTGCCCGCCCGCCCACGGCTCTGTCTGTGCCTGAGCTCCCCTCTTTGTCCTCCACCGGCTCTGTTGATGGGGACTGGATCCCCAGTGTGAAAGGGATGGAGCTGGAGGGCCAAGCCAGGGTATGGGCTTGGGGAGGCAGAGAGGCGCCGTCAAGGCCTCTGCTCCAAGTGCTGAGCAGCTCTGGGCCCGCTGGCCTACTGTTCTGAGCTTGACTATTCACAGTGCATGGTGGGAAGTCTTGATCTCTTCCACCTTGGAGGGCTCCAGTGTCCCTGACATACTGATAGGAAACTTCTGGCCCAGGGACCGACAGCCTGACATCCACTGTTTGCCTCTAAAGATCCGGGCACTGTTATTACACCCACTTGGAAGATACGGAGATAGGGATGTGGAAGATAGAGCTCACAGCCCGCCACTGTGGATCCAGGTCTATACTGCAGACCAGGCCTTTATGCTGCACACCCTGAGGGACGGAATGGTGAGGGGGCAGGGCTGAAGGGCTGATGGGTAAGCTATTGTCCCACATGGCAGGCACATCAGGGCTTAGTGGATGCATACCTCCCATGTGTGGAGAAGAACTGTCCCCTGCCCCCTCTGCTCTCTGCTGTCATTCCCAGAATAACCCTTCAAAAGCATGGGCATGGGCACGGGGCCGTGTGTGTGTGTGTGTGTGTGTGTGTGTGTGTGCGTGTGTGTGTAGGGAATGGACTTTCAAGACCCATTGGTTTCTGTGGCTGCAAACATAGCTCAGAGTCAGCAGACCCTGAGATGGAGAAACTGAGGCACAGTGTCCTAGGACCCTGAGCCAGCCCTTGCTCTTTCCTCCCATCTCCGCCCTGGTCAGGAGTATCTTTGACTCTGCAACTCTGCTCTCCCTGACTGCCTACAAACTGCAGCTTTCCTCCCTAGCCTAGGCTGATGGCCGGGCAGGACAGGCCTGGGCCCTGCCTGGTGTCAAAGGTTGTCCCGTGGCTACATCTGTCTCTCTGTCTCCCAGGCCACCCCTGTGCCTTGCAGAGGTGAAGCCAGTTGCAGGGTAGCCCAGTCTGACTGCTAGGTCAGAAGCTGATTAGGGCTCCAGAGTGACTCAGTTAGGGGTAGCTGGGTCCTTCTCAAATCCATTCCAAATGGAGGCAGGGTCCTTAATGTGAGGAAGTTATATGCCCACCCTTACACTCACACACCTACAGGCTGTACTCCCCTCCAAGTGTCCAGCCGGGAATGGAACGTGTCCATTCCTCACCCTCTGTGCCCACATTTCTGTGTTCTGGCCCAGGCTCCTGCTGGCACTGCAGGTCCGACCCGGTCAGAATGAGTCCCCCAAGATTCCAGCACATTCCATAATACCACTGCAGTTCCTTCAGCCCTTCTCTGTTTCTCTCTACCTGGCACACCCAGTTATCCCCAGCACACCCTCAAACAAAGCAACCTGACCTCCCATGAGCTGCCTCCTCCCCACCTCCTGCACAGCACCAGACCCCATGGTCACACACCCAGAGTCCATGGGCCTCCCTGAGTCCTCTTGTCATGGTTCACCCACATCTGTCACTCCAGTCCTATCCTCCACTCCTAGGCCCCAAAGGCACCTTTCTGGAACAGACTGCCCCAGCCCTCCCCTGAGGTTGGCTGAGAACCATCAGTGGTTCCTAGTGTCCACACTTGTCCCCCACCAGCCCCAGGGAGTTTGGGGGGGTCTGGTCTCCTCCCTCCCAGATCTTCCAACATCAGAATCTGTCAGGCGCTGAGGTCTGGAGACCTTCAGTCCTGCCCTCCCAGCCACTGCACTAGTGAGTCAGTCACCCCAGTCCTTAGGCACCCTTTGGGACACTGCTGACCCCTGCAGAGGTCAGAGCCCTGGACTTGCCCTGCTCAGCCTTCCCTGTAGGACTGTGAGCCCTGTGGGTCAGCGGTCTCTGTGCTGTCTGGCACCCTCCTCTAAGGGACCTTCTCAGCCTGGCCAGACCCAGAGGCAGGAGAAAGGGAGCTTGGGGCCCTTTCCCTCCCACAGGAACCCATCCCTGGCCCCGGGGGAAACCATTTTTGCCCTTTTCCCAGGGCTTCTAAGCTGACTCTCATGACTGTCACTGTGCAGTCCCCTGGCCTCAGGACAGGGCTGCCCTGCGTTATGCCCTCCCCTCTCCTCCCCCCCTCCCCTCCTCTCCTCCCCCAAGCCTCTGCTCTCCCCAGGCAGCAGACAGAGGGGCCAGCAGGGTGGTGGGCCCAGCCGGGATGGGTAAAGCTGGAGGCAGCACCCCCACATCCATTCCTCCCCCAGACCCTAGCCAGCCGGCTCCCCCTACCCCTGGTGGGGAGGCCTCGGTCTCTCCCCCCTCCCCCTCCCCTTCTCTCCTTCCTTGTCCTCTCCCCCTACCCCCCTCTCCTCTCCTCTCTCCTCTCTCCTCTCTCCTTCTCTCTTCTCTGAGTCCTTTTCCCTGGCCTCCTTCCTTTTTTCTTCCTGGGTTAAAAATAATCAACTTTCTGGGAAGCAGCAGCTCCCGCTGAGCCGCCCTCCCCACACTGGGGAGCCCCTGAGAATAGCTTTCCACAGCTCTCCACCGAACCCCTCCCTCCCTCCGCCCCCTCCCCGACGGCTGACTAATAAGCCGGGCAGCCGGCGCTGCCAGCTCGCTGCAAGGGCGTTAACCGCTTCGTGTCCGGACGGCCCGGAGTGGGCTCTGGGAGCCGGCAGCCTGCAGGGTCCCCCGGCCACCGCCGAGCCCGCGCTCCGGGCCCATAGTAGGCGCTCAACTAATCCGGGCGGCTGGGTGAACTTCGTCCCCTAAACTCGGGGTGGGGACCGGTCAGGTGTGGACACCCTAGGATGGGCTGGGGCCACGTGGAGGACCGACTGGCCCAGTGCCTCCTAGGCTGCAAGGTGCTGGGGGCCATCAGGGGAGGGCCAGGGTCAAGGCAAGGAAGGGCTGCACACCCCCTGGCAGCCAAGTACATCCCCCACTGGGCGGGCCTTGGACAATTAGGTCCTCCCTTCTTGCAGAAAGGGAAACTGAGGCCCAGGGGCTGTGACTCAGGCCTGCTCACACCTGCCGCAGAGGTCCAGGGAGGAGGGGGTGTCAAGGTCAAAGGTGAGGGGCTGCGGTGGGGGGAGCTGGAACCCAGGAGGAGCAACGCGGTCCGCGCAGGACACGCCCACTCCGCACATCCGGGCATTACCTCATCGCCGCCCGCGCCCATTGGCTGGCTCCCTCGGAGGCCGGCCCAATGCGGCGGAGCCCGTTAACCCCTTTCTCCCCGCCCGTTGTGCCCTGGCCACGCCACCCGCCTCCGCGGCTCCACGTGACCTTGAGTCCGAAGGTCTAGGAGACCCGGGGGGAGGTAGCGGGGGTGTAGAATTCACCCCAGTACTGCCCAGGTGGGTCCACCCTGGCCTGCTTCCTACTGTGTGACCTTGGGCCGTCCGCTCACCTCTCTGAGCCTCCGACGGAGAAAGAAGTTAATGATGTAACTCACGCCCTTCCTAAACCCCACCATGTGCTTGCCAAGTGTGGGGCCCACGTGGGCTTCACGTTCCACGGTGCCGCCCTAGCGCCAGCGGTGCCGTTAAAAAGAAGGGGTTCCAGGAGAAATGGCCCAACGTTACATACACCCAGTCTCACAGCTGGGATCTGACCCCCTCTACCCCAGCCATGTCACATAGGCTTGTGTTCTTCAGGGAGGTGCTCCTTCCTGCAGGAGAGGCAAGACTGAGCTGGTCAGACACCCCCCCCACACACACCCTGCCAAACACCGCTGTGATGCTGTGACTATGGGGAGCCAGTGTCCAGAGACACAGCTGGGGCTGATCACCCACCAAAGGCAGAGGACAGTGAGGCAGGCATTAAGCCAGGGCAGGACTGGAAAGGTCTGCTAGTAGCCTACTGTCTCCTGGGGTTGAGCTGCTGGTCAAGGGTCAAGCACTGTCCCAGAAGGTCTCTTCTTAGTGGACAGCCTGAGGGTGGGGACCGGAGTACACACAGAGGCCCACAGGCCTGGCTGAGTGTTTGCAAGTTATAAATCAGGCTTGCAAGCTGCTGAATCCAATTCGTTCCTTCCCTCCTCCCTGACAAACCCACCTTCCTAAGGAGAGATACACCTTCCAGTGTGAGTTTGCATTTCCAGTTCCCAGTTTTCTGGAGTCCTTGGGAAGGCTGGGTGTGTCATTATCCCCTCAGCCCCTTAGGTCTGTCTGTGCCAGCATCCCACTGCCTGGTGGAGGCTGGACATATCTCAGGCCAACTCCAGCCACACCCCCCACATCTCCTGCAGACAGTTTATCCCCAGGTCACCTGAGGATTGAGGGTACCCACATGGCTGCTCAGACAGCCCTTGGGACCGCCTCCTTCCTTCTCTGCCTCTGTGTTTCTACCGGGTCCAGCCTCTGGTTTGGACCATAGTATTGGCCTTTCCATACTGGGTCTTTCACTCGACACTTGCTCTGTCCTTCGCCTCCCAATCTTGGCTTAGAGAGACCCTCCCCAGGGACCTTCCCTGACCCCCCTGACCCAACAAAAATCACACAGCAATGAGCTGATTATCTGTAAAGCACCCAGTGGCTAGCTTGCTTCGATCCAGAGTGCTGGGATCAGTTTTATGTGGTGCTAAGGATTGAACCCAGAGCCTCATGCGTGCTAGGCAAGCACTGGACCAACAGCCACATCCCCAGTCCCTAGACGTGTCCATGAGTAAGCGTGGTGGCTCCTAGTTCCCATCCTGGCATTCTCCTTGCCATGTTCCCACAGTCTTTATTCCCTTGTCTGTCTCCACTAGACTCTGGGTGCAGCGAGGGCAGCCACAACCCGTATCCTTGCTGCATATTCTCAGCACACAGTTCAGACCCTGGGGGGCGGGTGGAGACCCTCACCCTGCTCCACACCTACTCTTCCTTATGTCTAATGCCCACCAACCAAGGGCCTCAGTTTCCCCATCTCTACATATGGAAGGATGTACCCCACCCTGAGTATGGGTGCTCGACTCCTGCTGGGCCAGGGTGAGGTCTTAATACTCAAGAGGCAAAGAGGAGAGGGGCAACCCTCTGCTGTATTTGGGCTGGCTGTGCCCATCTCTCCTATACACTCACCCTCATTTTGACCACAAAAAGATGCCTGTGGGACATTTCTGAGGTAATTTTTAGCATTGCCCCATTTTACAGATGAGAAAGTTGAGACTCCAGACAAAGCTTACCCCTTAGAACTATAACCCTAAACTGAGGTTGGGTTGGGAAAAGTGACTGAGGAAGGATGAGGGCAGGGCCTAGGGGAGGATAGTGCTGTAGGGATGAGGATAGCTCCTGGCCAAATGGAGGAGGGGGCTGGGACTGTTTTGATGGTAGGAAGCAGGGGTGGTGGCTGGTCACCCAGCAAGACTTGAATACAGAACCTGGTTAGACTAGAGAAGCCCACAGTAGAGTTCCAGGCCTCAGTGGGGATCTATGTCAGGGTGTGTGTGTATGTGTGTGTATGTATATGTGTGTGTGCGTGTGTGTGTGTGTGTGTGTGTGTGTGTGTGT